TCTTGAAATTTTAGAGCCTGATTTCCCTCAAATTTTGGACGTTATTGAACCTGAGCACTGCCGAGATATCATTTACCAGCAGGATGGAGCACCTCTCACATTACTAACAACTTTCGAGATTGGCTGAGTACCAAAACCCCACAAATGGATAGGCCATGAAGGCCCTGTACCCTGGCCTGCAAGATCTCTTGATAGACCCTCATGGATTTCTTTGTGTGGGGATTTATGAGAAAAAAAACTCGGTTACTTTAGCAGAAAAAAATGTTCCAAAGTCCTATCTAACCTTTGACTTGAGAACTGTTCATACACACTAAACAATTTTTGCCAAATTTCTTTTGCTGGGTTACAAATTCAACTGTCATTCGACATGAACATCATCTACAGCACTTACCATCAGGACCTGGGCTAGAGAATCATCTTCCTCATATGCTCTTACTGCCTCACTGTGTGCCTGTTCTTTTCTTGATTTTTCCTCAGGGCTTAGACCAGTCACTTTGTCTACAGTGATTCTAGGCAAAGTTCTTAGGCCCTTTGCAATGTCTAGGACCCCATGATGCTTCAACATCAATTCCATTTGCTTCTTCCACCTACGTCAGGACTGAGACCTGAGGCTTTGATATTTGTACTTTTACATCCATTTTAGATTAATTTTCATAGTTTACACAGAATTAAACGTACCTGAGCACCATGACCTTTTAAAAATAGAAATAAAATATAATAGATTAATAGTAGTTGTTAAACTTTATTATAAACTGTGTTTACAGAAAATGTTTTTTTTTAAGATAAAACAAACATACAGTACACATGATTTAATTAATTATAAACCATGTGATTGTAAATAGACAGTGAGCAAGTTAGTTTCTTTCTTAATTCAATAAAAGAGGATGTTGGTTTGTTTGTATATAAATGTTTGGCAGTGATAAACTCAGACACATACTTTAAATACTTTTTAATGAAATGGCAACCAAACAAAGTAGGTATTTTAAGCCAAGTATGAGTGGAGATGAGTGTAGGATGAGTGGTGCGATCTTTAGTCTTGTTAGTGACTAACGCAGCTGGACCGATGGCTACGAAACATTGTACATACATGTAGAACTTCATGGAGTAGTCTTACACCATCAATTTCGTAATAATGTTCAGGGCTTAGCCAAGGCCCCACTAGAAAAACAGGCCATGCTGCAGCGCAACACTACGTCATAGTGGTGGATAGTTGAACTCAATTTTTACCATTAAAATCTCAATTAATTATGGATGTAAAAGCTCACAAACAGTCAGCTTTTTTACCTAAAACATATGGGATGATGGCAGTTAATTTATCAACGAATCAATCCACTATAGTTCGGCCGCTTAGAAAACGACCTGCGCGCTAATGCTAAACCAATGCTGGAGGAGGTCGCTTTCTAAGCGGCCGAACTAAAGTGTGTGACGTCATGGATTCTGCAGCATCAGCATGGCCTGTTTTCTAGTGGGGCCTTGGCTTGGCTTGGCTTAGCCCTGGGACCGTCACCGTCTTAAAAGTACCCATGTCAGGGATTTGAAAGCATTTTAGTTAGATTTGTTTACTAACAAAACAATAAAACATATGAAAGTAAAATTTAATAAAGGTACATTAATGCTATGTTTCGTTCTGTTATTTAATTGGTTCTGTTTGTACGAAGATTTGTTTCTTAGTGCCTTATGTGATTGAATTAGACTTTGTCATATACAGGGTGACAAAAAAGTCTGGAAACGGCTTGATATCTTTCTAACTAAATTCGTTAGAAAATTCAAACCTTTCACATCAAGTTATATGGATGAAAACTACTTTTTGCAAGCACTACCATTATTTTACTTTCACCAGCGGACGGCCCATGAGGAGTAGGTACATGATCTTTAAGGTAAGCATAGGTTGATATGCACATAATTTTTAAGGTCTAGTCAAGTGGAGTTCATTGCCGGCAACCGCGTCAAAAAAGGTTCATCCGTTACAAAATTGCGGCAGTCCAAAGTTCTTGTGGAATATACCTGCACAGGCCTTAGTATTGGTAAATACTCGTATTAAACATTAGCTTGGGAGCTGCAATTGTATTTTAAAGTCAACTAGCTCATAGAATAAGTTTATTCAATCTTCAAAACAAATTTAAACATATAGAAAACTTATTCTGTGTTCAATACACAAATTACAAAACATTAAGTGTTCTTTCCTTTAAATAATGTGTACGGAGTTCTCGGGTTACCTAACGAGAAAATAATTATAAGCTATTTTTAACACTAGGCTATTTTAAATATAAAATTTAAACAACAATCTAGGTACAACTACCAATGAAAATGCTTCAGTTTGAAATGTATATGGTTTTTATTAAAATAGGCTTGGAAATGTTGTACTTAATTTAGAACTTAACTACCATATAAACTACACATAACAACACAATGGATAGGTACTATTTCCGTCATCCCGTTTGAAAAGGTCTTAATGATAAGGATTTATACAATTTTTAAAACATTCACAGTAAGGAGTAGCCGGGTGACTTGTTTGAAAAACAGCTACAAGTTGCTCTAGAACAAGTCTTGCATTTCTGGCTTTAGCAAATTTGTAGGAGCCGGAGGCAGTGTCATAAGAAGGGGGCGCAATTTTCCTGAGCTGTCTTTGAAAAATCCGTACTGGAATAGATCTAAAGACTATATTTCAGCTGTTCAGGACTTTTCCCAAAAATATAGTTGGGCACCACACCGTAGGTGTAATTTGAAGCTGTCCATTGTGCAAGGCATTTTAAGGTCCTTGCCGGCACATGGATTAGTTGTGATTTCTATATAGCGGCTGTCATTGCAGGTGCTTCCTTTTCTTCTTAATAACTTTAAATATAACTCTTCTAATTTTTCAACGCTATCATCAAGTAGTGGTTTCTGTTGTAATAGCTGCAAAACACTAACTATTTCTTCTAAGTTGGATTTGGCATACTTGTAGGCGGCATTTTTTGTTGCTGTCTTACTCGTTGTGTCGCAGCTTGTCAAACAGTGGAGCTGGTAAAATCTCGCAGAATCTATTGCCTAGGGTCTTTGCTGCTTTATATCAAATCAAACGTATTTTCTTTCGTGCCTAAGTTAACAAGCCAAAAATCATCATAACCACTTTGTCTAAAACTCTCCCAAAACCTTATGCCTAACACAAATACGTCAGTGTCGTGTCAGGACTATGAACCAGAACAGAACACTTTTTCCTTTCATTCTGCTACTCCTACTACATATGTTTTAAAAAAATGGAGAAATCCTTATCGTTAAGACCGTATCAAACAGGATGACGGAAATAGTATCCATTGTTTTGTTATGTGTAGTACGGTAGTTTTAACATGAAGTACAGCATTACCAAGCCTATTCTAATATTCTTTTAATAAAAACGTATACAGTACATTTCAAACTGAAGCATTTTCATTGGTAGTTGTACCTAGATTGTTGTTTAAATTTTATATTTAAAATAGCCTAAACAGCTTATAATTATTTTCTCGTTAGCTCCGGACACATTATTTAAAGGAAAGAACACTTAATGTTTTGTTATTTGTCTATTGAACATAGAATGCACTCCAAACACAGTAATATTCATTGTTTTATGGAAGTTATATACTGTAGATAGATAAACAGTATTTTGACTTTAAATTTGTAATTTCAAATAAAATGTTAAATAACTCAATTATTATCATTGATATGGGATTTTTCATTGTAAAATCTTTAAAGCAGATGCGGTTTGTAATCCAATGCCATCTAAAACATGTTTCTATCGTTTCTAGTTCACGAGATTTGAGGGATGTTCTAGAACGCGCCTCAGCACTACTTCCCCCCCCCCTCCCACCAAGTTGTGCACCTGCTGGGAGGGCGACAACATCGGTTTTTGTCATCTCCAAGGTGCCTCCAACAGCAATCAAAAGTCAAAATGCGTTACACTTTCTTTTCAGTACATACCCAATTTTTAGAAGTCTGTACCACACGTTGATTTCTGCCACGCAGCGGCGTCACCCTTGTCACCGTGCCGCTTCATCGGAAACCTCGCATAGCCTTGTAATATTTCAATATAATTACCATATAAAGTGACTTTAGTGTGTTAAACATATTATGCACGATGAAAAACTGTACTGTTTGTTGTTTTAAAGGATTTTGAATGGACAGTTTAACGTTATTTAGAGTTTTTAATTCAAATTTTAAAATAGCTCAATTAATATCATAGATACGGGAATTTTCCTTGATATTGTTTTAAAGCAGATGAAGTTGGCAATACAATGCCGTTTAGAGCTTGTTTCTATCGTGTGTAGTTCACGAGATATAAGCGATTTTCTGGAACGCGTCTCAGAGCACCTTCCCCCCCCCCCTCTGCCACAAGTAGTGCACCAATATTTTCAGATTTTTTTATTTCATGAGGCCGTTTGCCAGCTATGCTGTGGAATTTTAAATATGAAATAAAATTAAAAACTCTGAAAATATTGGTGAAGTTTATATTTCAAATTTATATTCATTCCAATATTACCAGTTCTTAAGGTGCTGGTTCTTAATGCTTCCTAATTCAATTAATTTGTAATAAATTCCAGCAGCAGCACTTTTACTACAGCATAATAAATCAAGACCGATATTTCCTCTTGCAAATGTGAAAGAGAAACTGCCAATGTAGAATGTCTAGCTGATTGCTAAGTTAACTAGCTGAGGCAGGAGGCAGACAATTAAAAATAACACAAATTAAAATAACAAAAATCGATTACTGATGTCTCTACAATGATGTCATCGGTACATAGATGGTTAATACCGATGTTACCATCGATGGTTGACTAATCAATGGTCATTCCTTTTAGTTATGGAGGAAATCTTGAAAAATTGTAAATGTATATGTTATTCTTGTGGAGGAATCAGTAAATTGTTGTAGTTTGTTTGATTTTGGATAAATTGGGGGGGGGGGGGGTAAATGTTTATTTAACAATAAGCTATTAACATTTTATACTAAAAAAACTTAGGGATTATGGTATTTTGAATTAATAACTTCATTTAATACTTTATGTATTTATTCTTTACAAATAGCATGTTCTAAATTTGCTGAAAACTGCTCAAACATAGTTAAAATTACTGAAAATGTATATACAGGACTAAAATAAACTAGAGCTCTTTACTTGATTTTCTATATACAGTGAGAAATTTACAGTGCATTTTATATACAAAAAAAATGAGAAACTAGCATAAATAATAAAGTCCACACAGGAAAATATGGTAGTTGATTTACATTTAATTATTACTGTGGATCACTACTCTAGATGGATAGTAAAAATTCTAATTCTAAATGTACAATGGCAAACCAAAAGCCATCACAGAAAACTTAACACTTTTCCCCATTATAAAACAGTATTTATCAATAAACAAGCTTGAAATAGATACACAAAATAATATTGAATATTTATACATGAAATTTACAAACAACAGCACTGTACACAACAGGAGTACTGAAATCAATGGTAAACTGGCACACTAACATACTAAGTACACATTTATTAGGCTATGTAACACAAAAAAACTACATGAAAAATTAACATGATCAGATCTTGAAGAAATATTGATTTAATATTATCTGAACTAAATAAATAGTTTCTACCATAAAGTAACCAATCATCAAAAAAGTTGCTGCTGTTAAAACTATCTAATGTGTATTTAATAGCCTAAAAGTTAAATTTTGTGTTTAACAGAATTATATTTGGCATAAAACCAAAAATAAGTACACTATCAACAATAAACGTAATCACACTCTTGACAAATAATAAACTGAACTGATGTCCATTAACCGCATGCTTGTTTCTTGGTTAGTATTATTTAAATAACAAAACCAATTAAATTTTTTATTGCAAAAATACCACAAAAAACATTTTTCAAATTTGACTTTTTAGTGTATTAATGATTTACAAATTGAAATACATAGTTTGGTGCAGAAATCACACAACTGCAAAAGTTGGTTATGGTGTTTCTGCAATAAATAATCCAATTATGAAATAGACCTTAATCAACCTTAAAAATGCCTTTGCTTGATTTATGTAAATCCTTGGCCATGATTTTCTGATTATGGATATCAACTCGAGTTCTATGGTAAGATGAATCACGATAATCCACTTAATTGTTGGTACTATTTATTACCAAGAGTATACTAGAGTAGCCACTCAATGGAAGTTATTGTTACCTGAACAGCGCTGTTGCAGAGTAGCATCAGCTGTTGGTTATTACTATACGTGTATACTCAATGTTATTACTTACGTCTCTAGCAATGAAAATTTTGTTATTTATTACAGAGTAAATATCAACTGCCTATGCACAATAGTATCAATTGTGTTTTTTTTCTAGCACAATAGGCCTTATTCTTTCATAACTGTCAATGAAATCAGCATCTCTACTTCAATAGAAAGTTTAATATTTACTTTAAAGTATTAATTGAATAAGTTAGAAATTGCTAGGCTTATTAACAACTTGCAGTTATTCCCTACACAATCCTGATATTAAATAGTTTGTGGATACAATTATTAAAGATCCTCATTTTGAACATTGGAGCAACGCTTTAAGAAGCATATTATTTATGATTTATAAAGATACTGAATAGTTAAAAAAATTAACATACTTATTGTATACTAACTGCCTTGACACACATTTGCACGGTAGACCTCATGAAGCTAAAAATAAAAACACTATAAACAAAGACTAAAGATATTTACTGTCCTGCGTGTAATTTTCTTTAAGGATTTTCATTACTCATCTTTTGTTCAGAATTAACTTTAGATTCAGCAAAAGTGTCCACAAAGGGTTACTGGTAATTTGTACAGTGTACAAAAACACGTTTAATAAACTAAGTTTATATGCACTTATGTTTTAATTATTTGTAAATGTTTACTGTAATACAGTGGGAATGGGAAAAATCAAACATAGGAAATATTCATAACGGTTGTGTCTGTTGACTAATCAATACTAAATTTTAGTAACTTGACTTAATTTTTTATATTCATTTCATGAAATTTTGTAGGCCTACATAAATTTATTTTATTTTTATCACTTGGAATTAATAAATAGCCAATACAAATCTATGTAGAAAAATAAATTAATTACCGTTCTAAGAAACTAATTAGTAGGCTACTTTTACAAACATCTAGAAAAAAGTATTAGGCTTACTGACAATAAATTTAGTTTTAAACATTTTAAAATAAAAATAAAAATTATAACACTTTAAAACTAACCATTATATATTAATTAAAAAACTATTTGAGTAAACAAAAGCTTTATTCTACACATTTTAAAATAAAAACAATTGTAGTGGGTTCTTTTTTAACAAGCCTACCTTGATTTCAGTACTGTACTTATATTACAATATTATCTACATCAAGCCTCTTCTCTTCCGACAGTCTGGACAGTACCATTTACCTTTAGGTGGAACCATTATCCCAACACACTCAAAGTGAAACCACTCTATCGTACAATCTTGTCCATCACATGCGATCATTTCAGACACTTCATCATAAGGACACTGGCAGTAACAGTATAAATTATCACTCTTTTCTGTTTGTTGTTCTTTTGGTACAATTTCTTTAGTTTCTATTTCATGTTCACTTTCACTACTAGAACTACTACTACTGTTACTGGAGACATCGCGTTTTACGATCCTTTCTTCCTCAGTTCCACTGGAATCGCTTGGTTTAGTTTTCCTCTCCTGCAGGATGGTGTTGTGAGTTCGCTGACTAGGGAAACTTTGTTGTAAACTCAATTGTGGACTTGATATCTGAGGTGTGGCTGAAACAGTATCTATCTTCCTCCATTTTAAACTGGGTTTTCCTTCTTCTTCTTCACTAGAATATCCATAGAATTTGTTGCGAACACGTTTCCTCTTTGAAAGACGTGCACTTTCATTCTCAGATCCACTACCTGCTGTCGTATCTGACTGGAAACTCGCAATGGACGATCTCGAAGGTAAAGAAAACTTAGATGTTATGTTTTGATGATTGGTTACATGAGACGGAGTTGAAGTTGCAACCGGCAGATCCATTGTGATAGGATGCAACAGTTGATGAGGTTGAGCATTTACTTTGCTAGTTTGCTTTTTTACCTGTTGTGATTTTCTTCTTCTTTTAGTTTTAACTTTTCTTTTAGCAGAAGCTGGAGGAAGTGAAGGATTTTCTTCAACAGGAGGTGCTGGTGGTGGTGGTAGTGATTGTTGTGGTGGTGGTGGGGAGACGGTGCCATTATTTACTGGGGCAACACTAGCCAGAAACAAGAGTTTATTTCTGTTTTCAAGTTGTTGTTTTCCATGAGTTTGAGGACATTTGTCATAAAAGTCTTCATCAGTAGATGATTCGTCGGTGTCCAAATCAGATTCTTGAATTGGAAGCTCCATAGGCTCTACGGGCACATCAACTACAGGTTCTTCTTCGACAGGAAGAGTGTGTGTAACCTCAGGGACTTGTTCTTCTTCTTTATGGTGTTTATGTTTCAACTTCTCCTTTTTCTTTTCCCTTCTATCAGCTGTCTTCTGCCTACCTTCAGAAGTTGAACTTTCAGAGTCAGAGCTTGAAGAACTTGATGAGGAACTTGTGTTTGAACAACTACAGTCTGGTCCACAACTACAGGAACTACTGTCAGAATCGCTGCTTGAATCACTTGAAGATGAACTATTTTCGGTATGTTTCTTTTTCTTAGGAGTTTTTAGTTTCTTTTTTGGACTAGAATTTAGTTCAGATATGGCCATGACTTGTGGTGGTGGTGTTGAAGGGCGTTCTCCAAGAGAGAGTTCTTTTGGAACTACATTGTTTATGCTAGGGCTATCTGCGCTTGTATTGTTAGTGGTTGCATATGCATGGTCAATACTAGAACTATGGCCTCTAGGTGCTGGGGTTTCATCAAGAGGTTTTTCAGTTTTCTCATCGATTGGTGCTGGCTCAGAAATAGTTGGTTGATCTTCAGTTTCACTTGGTTTATTTCTACCAGGAATTAGACAGTAGCTATGGTCTAACAAGAACCAATCAGATTTGGGTTCAGGTTCAGGAGTTTTTGAGGCCTCTACTTGAGAATCGAATGAAGAAGTAGATGGTAAAATATTTGGTAACGACAAATCTTTTGATTCACGTTTCTCAAGCTCAGCTTTATAGGAGTGAAAGTTATCCCACACACCATCTACAATAGGAACTGGAGTTTGACTCTCCTCTGATGCTTCAACATTTTCACAAGGACTGGTTATTTGCTTATCAGGGTTTTCTCCAGATATTGTACTATGAACTTCAAACTCATGAGTAGGTGGTGTCTCTTTGGCAGACTCTGATGTAGCAGTCTTTGTCTCTTCATCAGAAGAGTCACTTTCAGATGATAAGTTTAAAGGTGGAAGATTGTAAACATCAACCACAGGCTTCCCTTTCCTGTCCCTATCCTTTTTCTTTTTTTTCTTTGATTTTAATGTTTGACTTTCTGAATTTTCTTCATTGTCATTTGAAATTATTTTTGACATACATTCTTCTGAGGCATTTCCTCTAACCGGTTCGTCAATGGTTTCAACATTTATATGTTCTTCTAGCGATTTGTCCATTTTACTTTCTGGACCACTATTATTTGTAAGGTTTTCACTGGGAGGTGGTTGATTATGGGTATCTTCATGTTTAGCAAGTAGTTTTTTTGATACAAATTTAAACTCACATTTGCTACACCCATAAGGCAACTCTCCTCCATGAAATCTCTTGTGGACCTTTAAAGCAACTGCCTTGGTAAAGCTAGCATTGCATTCTTCACAAATGAAGACTGTTGGTGGGACACAAAAGTGATAGACATGTGGCCATTTTTTCTGTAAGCATTTCTTACATAATACACTTTCTGTACCGTGTTTCCAGAAAAGATGTTTTGTTATATCAGGTTTGTTGCGATAGGCAATTTCACAGCGATAACACATATGATTCAGTTTGTGTTTCCACATATGGCTAGATAGCTTTTGCTGATCACCAGCCATTTCCAAGCAAATGTCACAAGTATGGTGACTTTTTCTCAGATGAACCATTAATCGAAATGCTGAAGGAATCATATCCAAATTACAAAAGCAGCATCTGAAATTGATAACTCCTGGTACATAAATCCCTGGACACATATGACATAGAAGTTCGCTATAACTAAAAAAATTTGTTTTGCACATAACACACTGTAGAATTGATTTTGGGTGCATTTTCCTTTTATGATTGAAAAGTTCTTTATGAACTTTTGATACAAACCGACATTGAAAACATTCATAGGTATGTTCATAAGTAGTATTTAATGGTTTTTCTGAACTATCATAAAACTCTGTATTGAAATATACATCCTCCAAATCGAGCAGAGAAGATTTTAACTTTTTTATCACATCTTGACTTGTTTCATTATTTTTAATAGGTTTATACCTATGCTCACGCAGAAGATGGAGAGCTAACTGTTTTCCGTTAACAGCAATTTTTACTGCGTGGCTGCAGTAAACACAGTTAAGACATGATGTGCGAACACACTCTTTAACAACAGCTTGAGGACTTACAATTTCAAGCTTATCCTCAAGAGTAAGAGCCATTGCTGGTACATCTTCATTGGCTAATTGTATTCCATCACATACTTCTTCTAACACATCCTCATCTTTCTCAGAACCTACCGTTTCATTCTCTGCTGCATTTTTTTCAATATGTTTTTCTAATGAAGAGCTATCATCCAACAAGAAATCTCTTGTAAATTCGTTGGAAGTGACACTTTTTGTCTCCATTAAAGTTTCACATCCATCGTCATCATTTTTCTTATCTATATCTGGTGTTTCCTCATGGCTTGGAGGTTTACTTTTCTCATCTACCACTAAGCCAGACCTTGCACTATCCTCACTTTCAGAGGCTGATGCTTCCTTCTCCTTCGCTGCTAATTGTTCATTATTTTTCTTGCTGTCCTCCTCTTCATCAGAACTTGAGTCAGATGAAGATTCAGTGTCATCTTGACTCACACTCTGATGAGTTGATGGTTCGTCCCTGTCTGAATCTGATGTGGTTGTGTCAGTTTTTTCTACTTGCGATGATGATTCAAGATCGTCTCCTTTAGATTTAACACTCTGATTATTTTGAACATTTTCTACTGGCTGAAGTACTTCTTCTGTGGATGAGTTGGTATCTACATTATCATCAGTATTTTTTACCAAATCTGGATTTTCGTTAATATCCTTTCCTTCTTCATCTAACAACAATGAGCCACGATTCTCAGGTTGATCTTCCAAGGCAATATTTGTTTTATCAACTGTTAATCCTTCAATGGCATTTCCAGTTTCATTTGCTCCAGTTGGCTGATTTTTATCATGAATTTCAGGTGGTATATCTGAGTTACCTTCTTTTCCTGCACTAGATTCATCGTGAGCGCCACTTTCAGGTTCTAAAGGATTTAAACGTTCCTCTTCTTTTTCTTCACAGGTTAGGGATGGATCATGGTTCCCTACTTCGTTATCCATTGAGTCGGTTTTGTTGGGGTTAAAGTCTGTACTTGCTTCTTCTTTAGTTTCAGATCCTTGATCAATTTCATTAGACGGTTCATCATCTGTTATATCAATAACATTGTCTTCTAAATCTATTTTACTTTTTTCTCCAGATTCATCAGCTAAATCAACGTGACAAAAACTAGCGGCATGACTTATATCATAGTCGTCATCATTGTCTGATGACAAGCCTCCTAGATTTTTTTTATTCACCCAACACTCATCAGAAGTCTTATTTTTTGTTACAGTTTTTGCTGTATTTGGTACTTGTGGTTTGCCAGCACTGGAGGTGGGACTAATATTTACTGGAATTGGTGACGATAGAGGAAGATTACTATTCGGACACGTGTAGTAATGACCACATTTGACACCACAAATGGGGCATTTGGCAGTTGGATCTTTGATGGGACAGTCGTGATTGAAAAAGTCCTCTCTTTCAGTAAACATATTTTCACAAGAACAACATATCAAGTAACAAGAGCCTATGTAGGTGTTTTGAAATTCTTCAACAGTCTTACAACTGTTTTCCTGTGCGCTATGGGCAACCTGTAAGTGGTCAGCAAGTTTATTAGCTACTGTAAACATTGTAAGGCAATACAAACAGATGTGTTTTTTATGTACTTCACGCATGTGTAAAAATAAATTCCAGTTTTCATAGTATGTACCACATGCAGAGCAAAGGTAAACTTTTCTTGTAATCCTAAAATTTGTTAGCATATTTGGATCTGAGGAAGTCATATGTGTAGTGTCCTGTTGAAGATTTGCCAGAAAATTAGACTTATGAGATAATCCGCAGCCTCGCTGATGCATATTTAGTGCCAGCATTGAGGGGAAACCCTTTTCACCACATCGATAGCATTTGAACTGCATTGTGGGTTGTAACCCTAAATATTGGGCATATTCTGCTTGAGATTCAGCTTGGCTTTCTTCACCGTCTACATCATTATTTTTCTTTCCATTGTGATTATTATTTTTTTTACCTCGGCTAGCCTTTGCTTGTTTCACCTTGGTTGCTATTTTAACTGGTTCTTGTATTAAAATTTCATTTTGAGAAGAATTTAAACTAGATTCACTTGAGTCATCCTTTGATTTCTCTGTTCGGGCAATGATCCTTTTTTTGAAACCTTTGAATTCCACAGATAGAGGAAGTTCTTTATCCTCATTATCACCATCATGCGTATTATTATCACTAGTCGAGTCCGCTTCTATAATGGAACAATCTTCTTCAGAATCCAATACTATAGCTTTTCTTTTTCTCTCTTCATTAACTTGTTTAGCGTTTGACTCTTCATTAACTTGTTTAGTGTTAGACTTATTTATTATAACTTCATTGTTAATCTCATTTTTATCATCACTTTCTAGCTCACCATTGACTTTTTTGGAATCACTTTTAAGGTTCAAAACAGAATCTTTGGAGGGTTTTTTACACTTACGTATAATGATTCTTGGTTGTAGATTTGACAACTGTCTACATTTTTCTGATGTGCCTTCATCACCCATACTAGCTGAAAAAAAATCTGAAATTAATTTTCATGAAAAAAATTGGTTCACACTAAAATTTTAATGTGTTTGATGATGGCACTTTGATGATGGCAAGATTCTCAAGGGGAAGAAAATATTTACTATTGAAGACCACTTCAGTAGTCAAAATTTTTCAACAAAATTAAATTTTTGTTAGTTTTGCTTTCCTAGTGGCTAAAAATTACCAGCATTACACTTGCAAAACAACCAATACTAGAAAGTTAAACATCACAGAAAGAGTGCACTTTCAGCCATCTGCTGGGAAATGGTTGAAATATAAATATCATGCAATTTACTCGTATTTGTAGAATTTAATTGACTCACTAAGACTCATTTCTCTACATTCTCATAGAAACTTACAATTAGATTTAAGTCATGGCTTAAAGCTAAACTGAAACAGTTTCAGGCCTTGAAACATAAATATACACTAACACTGTTTGATAAGGAATTTTTTTTTTGGAACAGAACCAGGGTTAACCGAATAGTTACTTTGGGCTGAGAATCATGGACTGAGACTAAATCACAAAAAGACAAAACCGATTATAATTTACTATTCTTGACTTCGCAATTCAATTGACTTAGACTCAATAAACACAATCACAGGTCGTGGCAAAGCACTTTCCTACTACGAGTACTATGACAAATTAAAGAATCTTGGCATATATTTCAACTCTTCACTTACTTGGGACATAGCAGTTACTGACACACGAAAGAAAGTTTTTGCCACCATACATTCACTGAAAAGATTACAGAATGTTTTGCCACAATACACCAAACTACACTTGGTCAAATCACTTGTACTACCCCATTTCAATTACTGCAACTCATTGATCAATGACATGACCATGACTCAGGCGGGTATGATCAAGGCCCCACTAGAAAAAACAGGCCATGCTGCAGCACGGGCAGCGCAACACCACGTCACAGTGGTGGATAGTTGTACTAAACTCTTACCATTAAAATCTTACAAACAGCCAGATTGTTTATTTACTTAAAACATATGTGAATGATGATGGCAATGAATTTATCAATGAAATCTATCCACTAGTGTGACGTCATGGATCCTGCAGCATGGCCTGTTTTTCTAGTGGGGCCTTGGTATGATCCAGCAGTCTCAGAACTATTGTTTGAGACTTGATTTGTGTATACGGTCTACGACGTGAGGAGCATACATCTTGAAATTGAATTATCAAAGATCAATCAAAATTCTTTCATTGGTTTTTTTTTTATTTTGAAAACAGGGTCCCAAAATTATTTTTAGTATGTGCCTCAGGGTAGTTCACGTTCCTCCTTGATCACATTGCGAATACCCTCATCATGTGACCACAGGTCGTGACAAAACCGCTTGTCGTCTGTGGAACGACCTACCCCTGCGCATTAAATCCCTTGAAAAACGTTCCCAGTTTGTGGCGGCAATGAAATGTCTCTACTTTGAGCAGATGTTCTCGGCTGGCGTGTCCTAGAACTGCTGTGTTTTGGCGCGGTTACTGGTATGTGTGTGTGTGAGTGTGCTTTCTTGATTTGCTTTTTTATTTTTTTTATTTTCTATCTGCTTTGTAATATTTAAAAATGTATATTAGCTTAAGTTCTTAATTTGTAATTTATTCATTTTGTAATAGTTAGGTTAAGTGAAAGAAGCCTGGGTAAATAAAGGATTTTTCATTTCATTTCAGGGTGGCCACAAAACTCCTGGGAGAAAATTAACACATTTTCCAAGGGTTTCCTGGCAGCAAAAAACATTTCCCCAGTCAAGTGTTTTCTAAGTAAAGGTCTGAGGGTACCTGGTATTTTTGGGTCAGTCGGGCCAACAGAAGGCCCGAGGGATTGCTGCGGGCTGATAATGATTATTGAGCCAAGCTTGGGATCCAAACTACCGTGAAAAGCGTTCAAGAAGATGCACGATCGAAAAATAATTTCAACCCCATCGCGAGTAATATTCATGGTTTTGCTGTGATCGTGAGAGATGATGTCGCAGTGACCGTAGAAGATGTTCACAATTTTTTATTTCGATGCAACTGCCTTAGATGGTCACAATTTCACCATGGAAAGATGTTCTTTGTCGTGATTGCAGATGTTCTCGATTTTTCCGTGACCATGAAAGGTGTTTAAGATTTCGCCATGACCATGGATGATGTTCATGACTTCGCCGTGATCATGAAAGGTATCTCGATTTCGCAGTGACCGCCGATGATGTATTAAAAGTTGGGGTTTTGTTGCGTCAACGGGTCTCATTAGTGTTTATTCCCAAGAAAATACAGTACATTTTAGGATGTTAAAAAACATTCTAAATTCATCTTAAATCCATTAAACTACAAAATGCAACTACTGTAAAATCAGATTTTCTCAGTGAAATTTTAAAAATTCATTCATGATTCCCGACGTTTCCCTTGCACAACAAATTTAAGCGTAATAGGCCTACCTACTTGGTTTTCCCAGAATATTCAGTCAGTAGCCACCCTTCTGAACAGAAAAGAGGTCAGATACAAAAAAAAGGATGCTTCCCTGCCCGGAAGAAGCAGTTGGTTCCTTGAAAAATTATTTTTGCAGAAAAGAAGAACTCCAAATATCCTAACTCCAACCATCCAAAATGTTACCTGAGTTGCCAACAGAACTAATTTTAAAAACATATCACTAAGGTAATAAGATGTGCTAAGTGACAAAGAATCTTTGTAAAAGATGGCAGAAGCCATGATCGTGGCAGAATCTTGAACAGCTCCCGCAGTCGTGAAGACATAACTGTTTTCCGTGGACACAGCAAATTGTTGAACATTCCCAGCGATCACAGAAACATCATCATCTTCTGTGATTGCAGCAAAATCCTGAGCGTAGCGAACGAGCTAAACTGAAGGCAAGTGAGCGCAGCGAACGAGCTCCAACCTACAGGTGAGTGAGCGTAGCGAACGAGCTCCAACCTAAAGGTGAGTGAGCGTAGCGAACGAACTTCAACCAGGACGTGATTGAGCCATGCGAACGAGATCATCTTGAAAAATTAAGAAGTTAAACGGGGCAAAGCCCGCGGGTTACAGCTAGTATATTGTCCGTTAGCACAATAACTCGAGCAAAAATGATCCGATTTTGATGAAATTTGGTACAAATCCTACATTTATTCGAACGAGTTCGCAAACCATGATCGGACTATGGGAACGGGGGTTTATGGGGTAAAAATAGGTTTTTCCCATTTTTGACCCTAAAAACACAAAATTTCACAATTCCTTTCCAAACCATTTTGTAGAGCTTAAAAAAAAAAATACCCCCGCCGCAGCAAACCTGCAGACTAAGCGAATTTCCATTTGACTGATTGGATTTACACTGAAATGTCTACTTAAAAATATAACATTTATTCTTGATTTAATTAAATAGAACTAGTTTAACAAGTACTTAGGTTTGCTGCATCAGGGAGGGTAAAACTGTTTTTTTTTTTTGTAAAATGTGAATAGTTAGTAAGAAATAAAAACATTTTCCAAATTTGATCAAAATATGTTCACAAACAAGCAAACTACAACAGTTTACTTTATTCTCCATAAGAATAACATGGGAATTTTAAATTTACAATTTTTTGGAATTTTCTCCGTAACCATTAGGCGCATAATAACGCTTCAATATACTAAATTATTTGTTTTTTTAAGCTCTACAAAATAGTTTGGAAAAAAATTGCTAAATTTTATGTTTTTTGGGTCAAAAATGGGAAAAACCTATTACTCCATAAAACCCCCCGTAAACCACCGTTCCCATGGTCCGATCATGCTGGATCGCGAACTCGTTCGAATAAACGTACGTTTACACGTTTGTACCAAATTTCATCAAAATCGGATAATTTTTGCTCGAGTTATCGTGCTGACGGACACACATATATATATATATATAAATATATATATATATGAATTTGAACGGATGGTGTTTTTGGCCTCTAGGGACCTCAAAACGAAAAAAAAATCGGTCCCGCGTCCAGGTCTTACCATGAGTACTACGGTAATAGCTTATTCCCTATATGGGAAATTCGCTAACAAATAATTTAGTATATTGAAGCGTTATTATTGTTGTAGTTTGCTTGTTGTTTATGAACATATTTTGATCAAATTTGGAAAATACATTCATTTCTTTCTAAACTACAGTATTCATATTTTACAAACAAAAAACACTTTTTATCCTCCCTGTTGCAGCAAACCTAAGTACTCGTTAAACTAATCTATATAATTAATACGGTACATGAAACTTTGCCGGTTGAACTCCTCCGCCATTTTTTAACCGATTTTATCCATTGACGTCTCATTGGAAAGAGCGTGTCGCGTAGATTTGCAAACTGACCTTACATTTTTGAAAAAGTCCCTTGGACTCTGCCCCAGTGGCTGTTAAAGTTCCCATGTTATCCTTATGAAGAACATAATTCTTTACATTTTGATCAGCTGTATAATTTAATTGCTGTTATTTATTTTTCAATTCAAAGTATTTTAAACTCATCGGAAATCATGATGACTTTTATTTGTTTTTAAAATAACTACTTTACTTCTTTGCAATATTAATTATATATATTGCTCGATTTCGAGCAACGTGTTTACTAGTTATATTTAAATAGGGAATAAATGTGATAATTTTAAGGAGACATTTTAATGTAAAACCAATCAGTCAAATGGAAATTTGCTTAGTCTGCAGATTTGCTGCGGCGGGGGTGTTTAAGTTAAATTATCAAACTTTCAAGAATGTTTCACCATCATTATTGGGACCTAATGTATCTGCCAAATATTTTCATTGTCAATATTGTATTAGTCTATTTACATTTCTTTTGACTATTGTTTGGCTTAAAGTAAAAATTGGCTGTTGGATACAGGTTTACTTAAATAGAACCAAAGCATAAAATAATACTGACCTTTTACTTGATATTATTCCATTAAAGAAATTCCCACAAAATTACATGGTGATCACAGTTTATCAATGAGCATGTACCCTGAAACAAATAATTAATTTCAAAATGTTTGTTAAGCTTGTAAGAACATATTTGTTGGTTATAAGAGTAGTTTATTTGGACTGAAAGCTTTTAGGAGGGATAAAGGGTGTGAAAACCCCTCTTGACAACAACAGAAGGTTGGGGGTAACGCATACAGTAGAACCCCTCATATTCGACCTCGGAAATTTAACGACTCCTTAGAATATCTAACCTAGTGTCCGACCATCTACCAGTGCCTATACCAGATAGAAAGAAGATTTAATGAAATTGGTGGAAAAAAAACTTCATTCTGCCATCTTGTGCTTCATTCTATGAAAACTTGTAAAGAACTTATCAAGAATTTTTTTTTAAGGCTTAACAATTACCATACTTATTCTATGGTTTTATCAATGACTAAATTCTTTTTAGTATAATTTTTAAATTCTATCTCAACTCAAAAAGAAAGTTGTTTATTTTTATCTACAATGCTGTCACAACTCTGTTTCATTTTATAAAAATAAATAGAATATACATATTTTTAATGAAAACATGTTGTTCCTTTGGTAGGCCTATACAAAAATAAGGTACCAACAATTCAATTTTTTCTTTTAATACACAAACTTTCTACAGGGGTGCCCATCCCCCCCTAGACTCATGACGCACCCCCCCCCCCCCAATTGAGCAACAGCCCCCCCCATAAATGATGTACACAACAAATGAGAAACATTATTCCCCCGCCCAGCACTATTTGTAAAACTATAAAAGAAGTTTTATAATTTTTTTTAGATATTTAAAATTCTCAAACCCAGTTAATCTATATCAATAAAGTTATAGTTTTGTCTGTACATTGCTCAGAATTATACATATTTTGGGTTATTTATGTTTTATACATTGAAGAAGTTGAAACATGTCTTATCTCCATTTATGTCCGTCTGTCACGGCCCAGAAGGCATTTTATGCAGCCTACTCATGGCCTACTCTGAAGAAAACTAGAGTACCGATTATGATTCTAATGGTTTAATTGTATCCACAGGATGGGCGAGAGAGTCTTTATAGCCATTAAAATATGGCCTCACTATTTTGGAAATAAAATAACGGACGATCAAAAATACAATTTTGTGTGATTTTTCTAGTTTATTTTCTCCATGTTTACTACATACGTCATTAATTTATGAAATACTAATAATGTGTTAAGAGAACACGTCATATATGAAATTACAAACAGCTGTTTTGATAAACATAAACAACATAACAACATAAAGATTCCTTTTCCTAGCTGTCACTGATATGTTTACATAAATGTTCTTTAAGAATACTGTGTAGGCCCTAACCATTTCCGTGTTTACATAAATGTTCTTTAAGAATACTGTGTAGGCCCTAACCATTTCCGATCACGTTTGTAAGCAAATCCAAAACCAAGTGAGATTAATAACCGTGTGGCTTTGGCTTACATAACGGGTTTTAATTATCACGAGTACTAATATGTAACTGTAAATTAAATTAAATAACTAGCCCTCATCCAGGTCGGGAACCGGAGATTCTGTGTGTATCAAGTTGTACTTGAATTTTGATTACCGGGAAAAGACCGTGAATCAGTGTTGTACAGGACTGGAAAACTTATCTTTCTATATAAATAAAATTAGAGTTTTATAAGTCACCTCATTTTAAGGGATCTTTTATTGCCAGAATATCCATATCAAATTGTCAGCGTCTTTCTCGATATAACGATCCCCTCTCCCTCCCTTTAGAAACATCACAGCTCCTTTGATGAAAATTAAATGGAAACAACGCTTGCGCCAACAATCGTCTGCTCCGTTATACACTTCTGTCTGCTGTGCGCTATGTTACAACAGATTTCAGATACAACAGCTGGGGAATGATGACGATATAATGCTTAGTACACTGTGATTGAGTGATAACCATGGTAACTTAGTACACAGAAAACATACTTAATATGTTTTCTGTGCTTAGTAAGGCTGTGATTGGCCAATGAGTAGGCCTAAATTTGGCGACTTGTTGAATTTGTGTATGAATTGAAGAGAAACCTATTAATGAACAGAAGAAAAAAGAAAGAGAATAACAATATTGTTCTCGTTACATTCTTTGAGTGTTTTAATTATCTCTAAATATAATTTTACACTTTTTTATTACTTATCTATTAATTCCTATGCTGTGATACAGCACCTATCGGTAGCCTATCTGTTTATATAACACTTTCTAAAGGTCCCTTTAATATTTACGTTATTTATAGCAATGTAATGTTTGGCCAGTGATTAGTTGAGTTTGAGTTAGCTACAATTTTAAACGTTGCCGTTTGTACAACTGAACCAAGATAAATAATTTGAAATTTACAATAATAATGATTGTGCCATATTGAATTTTGTTTATAAAAATGTAAATCGTGACTCAATTGCTGTTTACAGCGTTTTAATGAGTTTGTCATCTGTTTTTATACTATATTGGATTAACCGTATTTTTCATTCCCCCCCCCCCTCTCCCTATTAACTCAGGTAATCGAGTATACACAATAGTGTAAAGTATTGTAGCCTATGCTACTTGCTACTTGATTGTATTTTAACGAGCTTTATGTCAACAAAGCGTTCTGCTGTGCTTAAGTCGCGGTGTAGCTGGATGTGTCTGTACCACGCGTTATCTTTTATCTATCACAGCAGTTGAGCCATCCCGTGCGCTCCCTCTCTTAGATCTCACGTCTTGCTAATCTTAAATAATAACTTTCTACACGAATCCTAAACTATCCTAAAATCCTATTTTAACTAATTTAATTCAATAATATAACTATTGTCATTAATTATCCACTTTCTATCTGGCGATTTCGTAATGTATTTTGGATTATCGTCACGTTGAACACTGTTGCAATTAACTTTAGCCCCCCCCATTTGAATTTTTTGAGCCCCCCCCAAGAATTTCAATGACGCAGTCTGCGTCACAGCCCCCCCTTGTGGGCACCCCTGCTTTCTATGAGCTAAAGATTATGAAAACTTAAAAACACTCTACTGTAATGAATTGACTTTTTGAGTTGTGACGCTTTTATTCTGCATGGAGGAATGTAAATTTGTCAACTAAATAAACCCTACCTCCTGTTCAAACTAACCATCTTTCATTTATATCTCAGTTCACGACTGACATTCAATATGTTTCTGGTGCTTCAAACATAGTAGCAGACAGTTTTTCTAGGATAGAAACTATTTCTGTCAACAAGAATAGTAAAATTGATCTGCATCTCTTGGCAGATTCTCAATCTAATGATGAGCAACTTAGGTCTATTCTCGAAAACAGTACTTCACTTTGTCTTCAACCAGTTCCAGTTCCTGGCTCTGATGTTTTCATCTACTGCGATACAAAGAACGGTAGAGAACGATTGTATATCCCCAAATGTTTACGCAGAGAAGCGTTTAATTCAATCCATAACTTAAGTCACCCTGGGATAAAATCCATGAATAAAATGTTAACTTCAAGATATGTTTGGCCTTCAATAAATCGTGATTGTAAAGAGTGGACCTTGTCCTGTCAAGAGTGTCAACGTTCAAAAATTACTCGTCATGTTCAAACACCTATCAACGATTTCCCTTTACCAAATTGTAGATTTGAACATATTCATGTGGATATCATCGGCCCATTACCCCAAGTTGGAAATCTTCGTTACTGTCTTACAGTAGTAGATAGGTTCACCAGATGGCCGGAAGCACACCCCTTGCAAGATATCTCTGCCAAAGAAGTCTCGTCAGCTCTTTTCAATTGTTGGATATCAAGGTATGGTGTTCCCTTGCGAATAACAACAGACCAGGGAAAACAATTTGAATCTGCACTCTTTGCTGAGTTGGGAAAATTGTGTGGAGTTTAAAGATTAAGGACAACGAGTTACCACCCGTGCGCAAATGGCAATGGTGGAACGTTCCACAGACAACTCAAGGCGGCCATCATGTGCCACTCCGCCTCCACGTGGGTCGAATCCTTACCCACAGTGCTTCTTGGAATAATAAATGCTTTCCGTGTGGATCTGAACACCTCGTCAGCTGAAATGGTTTTTGGAGAGGTTTTACGCCTCCCTGGCGAGTATTTTATACCAACAACCCAGCTGGCACCCTTAGAGGATCCGACTAATTTTGTGTCTCGATTACGACTCAAGATTTCATCAATAAAACCAACAAATATCAAGAGACACGGCATTAACCAAAGCTTCATTTTCCGTGATTTGGACACACGTTTCTGAGAGTGGATGCTATGACAAAATCTTTACAACATCCATACACCGGACCTCATCCATTGATCAAGAAAGACAGTAAAACTATCACAATAAAAGTGAATGGTTCTAATGTTAAAGTTAGTCTTGACAGAGTTAAACCGGCCTATGTCCTTCAGAATGATGAAGTTAAGCCCTCAACTGTATCTCAAACTTCAAAAGATGTGAATTTTCAAAAGTCGTATACGACAAAGTCTGGAAGAAAAGTGACATTCAAGAATCCAATTTCAGTTTGATGGAAATTACCTTTGTCCTTGCTGTTATTATTATTATTTTGTATTTGTTTTTTTTTTGTGACTTTTTGGAACCCTCCAAAAACTCCGTGGACTTCCAGTCTTCGCAGGGGGCTCCTGTAGTGAGCTGACAAATCTATCAGCTGACAGATGTTTTAAATAGTTTTATAGAATTTTGGTTGCTAAGAAGAGAAAAATAAACAAAGAGATTCTTCTAGGCTTTTCTAACAAAAGTGGTTCATTTTTATTTTCTCTAGACAATTAATTGTTAATTAATTTTAAAAGTATGATAAATTTAACGATAACATTTAGTGGAAACCTTTAGACTTTTATTTAAAGTATTCCTATTATTTAAATGAGGTTCTTTTCACTAAAAGTATAGTGTGCAGGAGAGTGACAATTTTGCTAGTGGTGGGGGAAGTAGAGTAGAGCTACTATGCCACATGTTGCTAGTAACTCTACTCTACCGCCTACTATCTACTATACTAGCTACTAGGCGCTAGTGGGTGTTTACACGGGTAGAGTTA